GCATCCCAGACTCTGACTGGGCAATCATGAGATCCAGAGGCAATGTATCTGCCATCAGAAGAGAATGCAACTGATGTAACCTGACGGTCATGACCTTTAAGTGGACCCATGATGCTTAGACCTGTCAGAGCATCCCAAATTCTTAGTGTTGCATCATTGGACCCAGAGACAATGTGTCTGCAATTAGGAGAAAATGCAACTGATCTTATCCCATTGTTATGGCCTTGTACATGATCTATCTCAGTGTGGCCTGTAAGAGCATCCCATACTTTGATTGTGTGGCCCCCAGATCCAGAAATAATATGCTTGCCATTAGGTGAAAATGCCACTGAATTAACTGAGCCCTCATCATCTTCAAGAGGACTTAACATGCACTGACTTGTCAAAGCATTCCAGAATAGTGCTTGGAAGTCCAGTCTCAAGACTGCAAAAAGACTGCAACTGGACTGGACCAAGACTGCAAAAGACTGGACCTGCAGTCTTGGTCTTGCAGATTTGAGATTAAAAGACCGCAAAAAGACCGGTTAACGTGGACCGGTCTGGTCGGTTAAGACCGGTCTTTTGTACCTACATAATAACCCTTCAAAACGCACCTAAGATCATATTTTTAGGCCAAAAACTGACAAAGATACATATAAAATAGTAAAATATTTCGTGAAAATAGTAGATGTACCTTGGTATTTTTGTAGATACATCAATTCTCAACGGAATCTAACGTTCTTGCACTCGTTTTGAAGCTACGAAAAATGTCAATAAATTTACCAACTCACAATTGCAAATATTATTGCATATTTAGTTGAAAAGCCAGTCTTGAACCGGTTGTAACCAGTTTGGACCAAGACTGGTCCAAAGACCGAAAAAGACCGCAGTCTTGCAAAAAACCGGTCCTGGTCTGGTCTTTTGAGGTTTTAGGAATTGTGTGGACCAGTCTGGGTCTCGGTCTTTTTGTTTTGGGCCAAAAAACCGGACTGGACTGGACTTTCAAGCACTATTCCAGAATCTAATTATGCGGTATTTAGCTGCACAAACAATGTGCTGGCCATCAGAAGAAAAGGCTACTGTGTAGATGGGATCAGAGCCTTCAAAAAGAATCATTACACTCTGACCAGATAGAGCATTCCATATTCTAATTGTCTTATCATCAGATCCAGAAACAATATTCATTCCATTAGGAGAATATGCAACACAGTGAACTGGGTCATTATGACCAATGAGTGGATCCATCACACATTGACCTGTTCCAGCATCCCAGATTCTGACTGTGTGATCAACAGACCCTGAAATAATATGCCTGCCACATGGAGAATATGCAACTGAAGTAACCATTTTATCATGGCCTTTTAGAGGATTCATGATACTCTGGCCTGTGAAAGCATCCCAGACTCTGATTGTCTTATCATGGGATCCAGAGATTATGTGTTTCCCATCAGGAGAATATGCAACTGAGATAACCCAACCATTGTGGCCTTTAAGAGGATTCGTGACACTCTGGCCAGTTGAAGCATCCCAGATTATGATTGTGTTGTCATCAGAACCAGAGATTATGTGTTTCCCATCAGGAGAATATGCAACTGCCAAAACACCGTAGTCAGCATGGTCTTCAAGATCCATGACATTATGGCCTGTGAGAGCATCCCAGATATGAATAGCTCCTCCATTAGGTCCAGAGACAATGTGCCTGCCATCAGGTGAATATGCAAGTGGACCATTACTAGTCTTTATTCTCAGAAGGCATCTATCTGGCCACTGTTTCATCTGACCATTGTAAATGCTCAAAGTCTTTACAGAATGTTTCATGAAATGAAGAGATATTTTAGAATTTTGTGGTGCAAATGGCAGTGCTGAGATGTAAATGTGTGGTGCTGCTTCA